ATTTCATTAACGCGTTCACGACGAAACTGGTTTTTCAACAGATGACTATTTCTTAATATAACGAACGAGTGGAGAATTAACCATGTCGACTTATTTTTTTTCCCCTTTTTCTTTAGTACTAATCCTCTTCCCGGTTTGCTAACCTCTTTTAGTACTGTTTGTTCTATCACTAGCTTTCGAAAACATAACGGCGTCACTGGGAAAGCGGAGGTTTCATAGCAGTTGTCTCTTCGCGATGATGTCATCTAGTAATGTCATACGATTCAAGAGAAACCCACGCTTTCAGCTTTAAATTAACGTATCTCATCTCATAATGAATTTTATTAATTATAAGGACATGTGAATCCCTACCTACAAGGTATGGCTTGCTTGTTCTGTAATGAAATTCCCAATTTTTTGAGACCATGAGATGAAGTGTTTTCATTTTTTTCATCATGGTTTCCATTTCTGAACGTTCAAATTAACCTATCCTAAAACGGCTAAATTACAAAGTGGTGTCGAAAACCAAGCAATAAGAATACAGTGGTTCATTACCTTTCCTCTCATCCCTCACACACTGAAAAGGGCGCTTACAAGAAATATGTTTCAAACCGCTGCCACCGTGTGCACAGGTAGAGATCAGAGGGAAGAACCCTGAAACTGGCGCATCAAATAGCCATTTCAAATGGTTATGAAACTGTAGTTTCTCGGCATAGACATAGAGGAAAAACCACGCCCCAGAACGATAATTCTAGCGTAGACAAGGCTCCGTTTCTTTTGCCCTTTATTTCAAACGAAATAAGTGCAGAAAAAAAACGGTGCTTAATAAGAGCCGGTCTAGAGAATTCCGTAAGAGTGATGGAAATACCATCGGACACTCTAATACGCCAGCTAGTTCGCAACCGCCTATATGACCGTCTATGTACAACAAAAAACTGCATAATTTGCCCAAATGGTAGAGACGGTGATTGCATGAGTTCGGGTACAGTTTATCTGATCCCTTGCAAAGCGTGCGGAGACGAATACGTTGGCGAAACGGGTATACCGCTCTGCGTCCGCATAAAAGAACACTTAGTCGGTAAACCTAAATTAAAACGAAACACTCCACTAAGCGCACATGGGATGCAGGAACACAACGGAGATGCTGAAGTAGGAGCCAGTATCCTCACGTAGGAATCGAAAACATCAGCACATAAAACTCTTAAAGCGTTTTGGATCAACTCGAAAAACTCTAAAATAAACCGCAAGGAGGAGTGTCTTGTCATCACGCGTGACCTGGCGCCACCCCTCAGGCTGATCCAACGACTTGACAAAGGCACAGTTATCGCCCATGTATTACTCTGTGCGGCTGCTATCCATCAACTAACTTAAACACTTACAACAAATAAACGGTAGGTGTTCAAACGAACCTGTTTCTTATGCGAATACAAATTTATTTGTTAAGTTTTATCTGCTGGGGCCATGAAAGTGTTTGGCTAAGTAGATCGCATTTCAATTTGACCATTCCAGGCTCTGAAGAAGGCGAAACCACCGAAACGTCAGCTATTGTATCCCAATAAATTCTATAATAACAACCTCGTGCCTGCTTATTGAAGAAAAACATCGAAAAAGATGAAGCTCTCGGATTTGATCAACCCTTGAAGAATGCATTTGACTTCATTAAGCGTCGTTTGGAGGTGACTGAATGCATATTTGGCCTTTACAATAACTTATGGTGGCCTACCGACATATTGAGCCAGTGCTGCCATCATCACATAGAGGTTTGGTACCAATTTGCCGACTCCAGAAGGCTTGGTGAGCTTGACGCGCGGGATCAAACTCATTTGTATTGCAGCACATCTCTAACGACTGCGCTAAATACACCATACTATATACCGCCGATATTAATGGAAACTCTCTTCCCCAATATCCCAATCTTCTCACGGATTTTCTCGGAAATTCAGGTCTTAAACAATTCTAAAGGATAAAAATAGCACTCTAGAAGAATGACATGTACGCTTAGAGCGACGGTGTAAAGTCTTTTTTCAGAAATCAGTCAAGTCTTCCAGTCTTTCAGTTCTCAACTAGACGAATTACGGAAGAACTCTCGACAGTTATCGAGAAATCTCAACATCACTGCGAATTAGATACAATCAAAGAACACGATAGTGTAAATTCTGTCAGAAGAAAGGTTACAGAATCAATCCCAATAATTAAACTGGCGATATCTAAAAACAAAAGAGGAAAAGTATCCAGATTTAAGGATCTGGCAGAGAGTACCAGAAGCATACAGAACTGTAAAGCAGCAAAAGTTCGAAGTACTTATAAATTCGTAGGAGGTAAAAAATACTAGTGGAAAAAGTAACCACAGAGAATCATTGTGATGATGATGCGCGTTTTTTAATGCTAAACAAAATACAACCATAATAATGTTGAGATGTTTGCAAAACTTCGGACCGCAGGTGTCTGCGGTGGGGAACGAACACGCTGTTATCGTTTATGGGGCTAACACGCTCGCCACCATACGGTGCAGGTCTTTCGTTTGGACACTAAACAAAATGTTATAACGACAGAATGATGAAGATAGATGGATATAAAGAATAGCATGACAGTACATGAACAAAGGAACACAAATGTGTGGTTAAGGAGTGGTCGAAGACGATCGAACCACCACCAAATACGGCTGGACAAGGTGCGAATACAAAGTATCGCTGTGATTAACTGTAGCTAAAAATTCGATATCTGTTTGTTCTCTTGCCTACAAGGGAAAGTATAGGTTGTCCAGAGAAAGCAGAATATATAAACTTTACAATGTAGCAATGTATTAAGTAAGTAGTCCAAAAGAGAAGAAAACTGAAATGCAACCCTTGAATGCGTGGACGATGAGAGTCCGGACATCCAAGACTACCTGTAATTTTCAGGAACAGCTGGCATTGAAAATCTGGAAACAGCTACGGTCAGAAAACTTGGAGACAACAGGATTGCTATAACAAACAAATCGTCAGTTCTATGAAAAGGAAAAGCGCTGGAAACTGGAAAAAAAACCACATGGAATATATAGGGCAGAGAAACTGAGCTAAGGATAGACATGAACTCTACGGGGATACCAGCTATTTCACATTAGTACTTTAAATAAGAAGTTTACTTTTGACTTTACATAACCCGTCATCATATCTATTGTGCGGATCTCCGCACTTCTTCCTTTAGAATCGTTTTCACCTAATCGTCCACAAAGGCCTTTAAACTCTTGAGGTGAGTGGGTTCGCCTGCTGCTTGAGTATTTCGCCTTCTTCGTGAATGTCGTGGAATGCTGGTGGAGTAGATTCTCTTCACAAATCTTGGAGATAGCCGAGCTAAGGCGTTCCCACCTGGATTGGAGAAGAGCGATGGGAAGGGTCGAACCTTGCCTCCTGGTGGACTGTATCACTAAACACTGGGACAACCCTCTCCCTCAAAGAGGTGTAGGAGTACGACGAAGTGACAAAACGTAGCCTTCGTGATATACTGTAAGTTATAACATTTTGTTACCATTTCAAGAAGAAAACGAAAGTAATTCAGTGGTTCTACACAGTTCTATTAACGAGCTTATAAAGTATTCTACCCATTGGGTTGTTGAGAATTGAATAACTCCATCTAAATTTACACAGCAATTCAATGAAAAATATTTACTCTAAAATGGAAGCAAGTTAAGAACTGAGGGTTCTTCCACATGGATATATGAAGCAAAAAACTATGGCAGTAAACATAACAGAGAACTGATTTATAGCCGATTAAATAACCCCTGAGGATTTACATTTAGGCGTTAAATATGAAACAATATCCGAAGTTACCCTAACGGCGACGTTGGCAGACAACTTAGCATCGTTTCCTTGTGTCAATAGGAAGATTGTACACACCTCTCTGAACTTTATAACGAAATTCGACTTTATAGAAGTATTTTATGTTCCGCAGAATACCAGAATCGACCACCGTCCTGGTATCAAACTAGTCGCATGGTAGCAAATCTCCCTCTGATCCATACGGGCAACGACCGGCTATGGTGGTGACGAGCTTGGGCAGACTTTGGCTAGGCTGACCTCGGGACTCTAGGGAAACACAATGGCTAAACCAGTAAAACTCCGAAAAATGGAGAATGTGATAGGCACGCACAACCAGTGAGGATGGGCCGTCCAAATATCCATGTAAGTAAACATCCTATGATCGAGTCAACTGCCTACTTGATCATTTCATACCTTACGACACAGGTGAAATGCGATGAAATCCCAGTTCATGCCGGTAGCTATTGGTTCCGGAGTAGAACAATACATTCACGAACGACCTGTATGTACTTCATGCTCTGCATCACTCTCGTCAAACTCCGTTTTTCTAGTCCATGGGCTAAACCACGTTCTACAAGATAGGGCCATTCAAAAATACGAGCTAGAAGACATCAATATTCGCCAACTTTATGATGACATGCTTTCCATCCACTGAGGAACCTTTCCACAGAAGGCCGATGGCGTAACCTCGTAATGTTGTCCGAAAGTGGACTATCGATAAAATTCAGCTAGCTACTTAATCAAAGATTTACAGCATCCATCGAGACCAATTTTAAGGCTACCAGAGTTACTATTTATAGCTCTTGTGAAGAACTGAAAAGGAGAAAAAAAAACTAAGATTATGAAAATCCCGGATCCTATTCTAACAATGAATGTACTCTCGTTACCAAAGCAATACCTCATTTCTTCTTCAAGGTATTTTCATTGAAGCAAAACGTCTTTATTGGAGAAACAATAACAGAACATAAAATTACATATTCAATTAACTAATGGACTATCGATATAACTGGAATACAGTATCACAAATTTTCGCACAGAAATATACAAAGTCGTTTTAATCGATTGTTACATAGATGTCTAAAAGAATGTTTTCGGCAACTAGAGCTCCACCACTTGTAAAGTTGTCAATTCTGAACCAGCTGGCTCAGGAAAAAAAGCGCAACTGTGAACATAATTCACAGGAATCAGGCGAAGAAAGCATTACGAAAACCTACACGAGGAATTCTAATTGAATAACACCGGGAGATCGTCCTCATTGACCAGCAGATTTCTGGGTTCAATTGTAGTGTCGGCAGATAAGACTATACCAGCGGCCGCACGTTCCGCCGTCTCTATCTCTTTCTGCTTTTTCTTATTCGCTTGAATCTTCTTCATTCTGTAAAGAAGTGGTTTCATGATCTTCTGATTACTCCAAATTTTTCGAGAACTATAAAAAACAAGACCTCAGAAATGGATACTTCTATGGAGATGATAACGCACCTAAAGAATTCCTCTCTTTCCATTTCGTCCAGCTCCGTTACAATATAATTGATCGTGTTTTCAATACGAGGAATAATAACTAAAATAAACTGACAAATACGATTCTCACCAGTTAAGTGGAACATTAGTTCTTAATTATACTTGACTTGAACGGCTCTATTTACCCAGGAACCCTATGGAACTCAACAAACACCAACTTTTCCGATACGTTTCTTACATTACTTACCTAATTGGATACTTAGATGAACCGTCTTCACTGTTAGTGCGGCACGGAACACAAATTCTACTTTTTCGGAGTTTTGCCGGTTTAGCTATTGTGGTTCCCTTAAGGCCCGAGGTTAGCCTAGCCAGTCTGCCCTAGCTCGTCAGTACCACAGCCAGTCGCCGCTCTTGTGGACCAGAGCGAGATTTGTCACCATGCGACTGGTTTCATACCAGAACGGTGGTGGATCCTGGCATTCATTTACTCTTAGCTAGAGTTCCTAACTGAAACGCCGGACTCCTTCTCAGCTTGATAAACCCTGCTGGGGCATGAATCCCCCCTGTACATCGCAGCCTGACACTCAGGAACACGTCCCAGCCACGACGAGGCGGTGAAATGTTGGGAGGATTCTGATCTTAGAACATTCTTTTTCCAGAAAACCAAAAAACCCGCGCGTAGGCGTATTCAGCTCGTCAGCATAGGCAGTCCCTAGTCGATGTGGATCTAGTGAGAGTTTGTTATTCAGATGAAAAGCTTAAGTTAAAGCCTAAAGTGAGGTGAAGCGATAATTCTTCGCATAGCCCCACTTTAAGCTAGGGTTCCGGAAGGAAATTACGTCATTTTTTTAGTAATCCTGGAAGAACGGCCAAATTCCAATGCAAGTCGTAGTTTGGAACCCGGTCCACTCCCTAATCACAATAAGCAAAGGATACTGTGATTCTAATTACGTAGTGAAGAACTGTTTCATGGAAAATGATGACATACCGTGTTCAATGGCGTTCACTCTCCTATTTGTGACCTTAATCGCTTCGTCCAAGGTTATGAAACATGTTTGAAGTGTGGCTAATTCCACAAGTAGTTCAATAGCCTAAAACTGCAAATAAGATTGAACATATGAAATAAAATCTTAAGTGCGCATTCTTCCTACAAAGCTTACTTAGTTTTTTCATTTTATTTTATATAACCCGCCTTCACATCTATTGTGCAGATCCCAGCACTTCCCAAATTCGATTCGCTTCCTCGCATCTATTGTCTACGAAGATCCTCCAACGTTTACGTGTGGTTTCGGTTACCGCTTGAGGATTTTCATTTCATCTTGAATGTCGTAGAATGCTGGTCGAGCAATTCTCCCTGGAGTCCTGAGATAGCCGGGTTGAAGTTTTCCCATTTGGATTGCAGAGAGTGATTTTTTCCCAGACAAGTCCGATACCAATTTCCCGACCGTGGAGGGGTCGACCAAGAACGGGATCGAAACAGCACCATTCTTGTGATGACGGATATCACTACCACTGTGCTATCCGTCCCCTACTTAGTTTTAACAGATCAGAAACTAGGAGGAGTCACAGAATGTCTCAAATTCAGTCGGTCCAATGTTCGTGGAAGGTAGGAAATTGCTGTGGATGAGATGGTACACTCAGGTTCACACAACTAGAACATAACAAACTTTGTCAAAATCATAAAAAAAAAAGATTAAGTAGGGCTAAACCTTATGGTTGCATATTATCTGCTATGTTAAGGGGTCTTGCTGTATGTTAATAAGCCAACGTTTTCGATACGCAGCAACAACATAAACCACAAAAAAAAACTAACAAATAGTAAAACATTCAATACCTTATTGTAATTCTTCTTCAGTTTCGTGATATTTGCGCCTCCTTTTCCAAGTCCAGTGAGGTCATAAGCATCCGGTCCTTCAGCGGTAGCATCGAAGACAGGAAGCATTACTCCTTAACAGTTGTTTATGATTGATCTGACACAAGGTTAGTGTTAAAAATAAAGCAAGACATTACTCCATAATTAGAATAGAAAATATAATTAATTAGAAATAAGAATAAGTCTGGTTTTGTGCACAAGTATAGAAAGAAAAAATGACGAGCGCAACTTATTGATGGATAGAACTTAACAACATTCGTAAAAACAACGAAAACCATATCTCAACCAGAAACGATAAAGGATAAAACATTGACGTTGACCAATTCCTGAGGCATGCGCCATCCATTCGAATTCATTAATACCACTGAATCTGATTGGATGTGTATCTGTCCTACAATATGGATACGCATGGCCTACCATTTATCAGAACAGTGTTGTTCTCCCAGATAGGTCTGGTACCAATTTGCTGAGTCCGGCGTGGTGGAGGCCATGGTGGGCCCGGGTTATGGAATCGAACCAAGGACCATTTTGCAGGGCACCTCTAACCACTGCGTTAACGCCCTAGTTCGAATTACCGCTCGAAGATTTCCTTTGTACGATACCGACTTAATATCGGGGTAGACATTCACATACTTTTCTCTATAAAAAGGTAAAACCTGTTATCCTCTTCAACAAAAGTACAAACGCTCTAACGATTTCTACTGTGATTTCAGACATTCATCCCATAACAAGTACTACAGTTAAAGATTATGGTTGAAATGAAACTGATAAAACCACAGTACTGAAAAAATTAAGGTGGTCACTGACCTACAACATTTTCTTTCTTCATACGAACACGATACTGTGCATGTGACACATTCTGAATAACAGTATGCGAGAAATCGCCAGCAGTGAACTTCGCTTCAGCCAAAGAGAAAGCTGCCTCTTTCATCACCTCTCCCATGAGCACCTTGTTCTTAAAAAAAGGAAACAAACAATTTCATTCAAATGATAGCAAATGCTTGAACGTTGGAAAAAATCTAATGACTTGAACGAGATAAAATCCGTCTACGTATAAATCTGATGTCACGGCGAAGAAAACCAGACTCTAAGACAGAATCCTATCACCACAAAAAATGTTGGACGATTTTAAAAACATAAACCAGTGAAAGAATGGGGCTAAAACAGAGACTGGAATAGCACCTCGACAATTTTCCTCAGAATGTCTCGAAAACGCATATTTAACGCATCGGCTTTCTTCTTGAGCAACGAGTGGCCTTTTTGTGCACCTTTCAGACGCGTTTTCATTACTGTTTGAGCCCTGAAGAATCGGAAGAAACTTTCCTGTTGTAGTTCAACACGCACCTAGTAAATCTGGGAAACGACACGTAAGTTCGTTTTTTGTGTTTCATTTGGAAAGCACTCGGCATAAAAAAAAATGAAATGAATGAAGATAAAGTGCTAAAGAGGCAAACACGTCTAAAATAACTTTATGTCGGTAGGTTTTGCAATAGTCAACACTTCAACCCATGCGTTGTTCACGAATTCTGGTGCATATGATACGAAAAGTATAGTAGGTTTCAATTTTAAATCAACGTATTTCAGATCGTAGTAAACTCCACCAATCGGAATAGATAGCGAAAAAATTTACAAAACTTCGATAAGCCTAGATACAAGATTTTTCATCCCATGAATATCAAGTTCTGTCTTCTTTTTGGCAGCTCACAAAAACGTATTTTCATGACTTTTTGTTCTCGCCTGGGCACATATTTCCAAATCCAATTCAGTTAAACAAACAGTATACCGTAAAACAAAACAAAACGCTGTTTTCCCACGTACCGTCAAATTTTGCAAGGGTCGTAACTGAGTTGAAGAATTAAAAAGTCTTAAATTCCTTTTCAATTTTTTGAAAACTCTAGATAAGTTCGTAAAAATCGCATAACACCCACTGCAACACAGCAAGAGTCTTCTACAAAACTTGTAAAGTTCCCAAACTATTCTATTTTCAGCTGTTGAGCGACCAGCGCAGTCGCGAAAGGAATCGGAGGTCAACTAACGGTACTCTTTACTAATTTTGCCCTCATAAACTCTAAAAGCGAACTCCTCTTGGAAAAGATCTAGTGTTGAAATTGAAGATCTGGCTATATGTTTTCGTTTTATGGAGCTAATTTCCTTTCAAATCATATAAATAACTTCGCAAATAGCAGTAAAAAATATTAGTTGGGAAAAAAAACCTACATTCGAGAGGGAAAGACAGCTATACGATCTTTGCCTCCTCCAGACATGATGGAAAGACCTGAAAATTGTTTGTAACCAATGGAAGGACGTCGACAGAAATCTTTAAGCATCACATTAATTCACTTCTCCTTCGGGTAGGAGAAGAATACGAAGGAAATCAGTATATTGACGGGTTCACAGATATGTCCGACCTCTACAGATGAAGACTCTACGGGGTTACAAGGAAATATCCAAGTGCTTATTCACGGCTCCAGGGAATGAAATGAAATATGGAGACTGTGTGACGTCATTTACTTAGTACAGTTATAGGAAAAGCCTTAGCAGAGTTCAGCTCACACAGAGAAACTTTAGTCATTTGCCAATGCTATCAATCGGAGAAAAAAGATTACTTATCGAAACTATTTGCCTGAGTTCCAAGAATGGAAGCCAAAGCAGTTCGTCTTCGGCGAGGTCAGTGATCATTGGGAGGGCAGCGCTAGTTGGTTTAGAGCGCGTTTTTTCACAGTGGTAATAAATTTTCAAAACCTGGAACGCCAGAACACGTCAACATTGCGAAGGACAAATTTTTTGGAATAGTTAACCATATTCTTTTCTTGGTGCTTATTTCATAAAACTGAAGTGGTGTCATATGTAATAAAGGGATAGGCAGCCCCGTCGCATTGATGTCGTTTATCACGAGCATGATTCTAGTTCAACTCCGCACCATGCTCACCAAGCTTACCACTCTTGTGGGGTCGAGAAATTGGTACCAGACTTGTCTGCTAAAAGTTCATTACCTGCAACCCAAATGGGAACGTCCTAGCACATCTATACTAGAGCTCCAGAGAGAATAAACTGTCAACAATCACAGGACATCGACGAAAAAATTTGCAAGCAGCAGTCGAACCAGCAACTGAGAGCTCGAAAACCATTCTGGATGATGGATGAGAGATATGGAATCGTTTGCAAGAAATGCTGCGACCTGCGCAATAGATGTGATGATGAGTTATTTAAAATAGTTGATGCTTGATACTTGAATGGCTCGTCCTCAGTGGTTCTGCGGCCCCGGCATATCTCCCACTTTTCAGAAGTCTGTCGGTTTAGCCATTGTGGTTCCCTGGAATCCCGAGGTTAGTCTGGCCAAAGTCTGCCCCAGGTCTTCACCACCACAGGCAGTGGCCGCCCTTGTGGATCAGAGGGAGGTTTGCCATCGTGCGACTGGTGTGATACTAGGACGGTGATGGATCCTGGTATTCGTTTACTCCTAGCTGGGCTTCCTAATGGAAACGCCGGACTCGTTCTCAGCTTGCGAGACTCTGCTGGAGGATCAATCCCCCGCTGTACATCGCAATCCGACACCCACCAGCCACGACAATGCGGTAAATCGTTAGGAGGTTTGCTTTGTACATTTTTAAAATAGATCTTGCCACCACAAAAAAGATGAGTTGAGTTTAAGAGATATAATATATGCGAAACTGAGAAATAAGAGAAAACTCTTTACTTTTTGCAACAGTGGATAACCAACACTATGAAGTTCACGACAGTTATGATATACACAATTAGGCTACAAACGTATGCGATAAGAACTACTTAGTATGTATGAATATAGTTTCAAGGCGCTGTTACAGTGATCTAGATAGGATTGAGAACCATTTCCATTTCCATAGCCGTAAGTTGCAACGAGATATCCATAAGCTTGAATCTCTTTGGCGAGTTGAAGATTGATTTCTTAACGATGATCCCATTAATATTCAAGCAATTTTTTCTTGTAAGCACTAGGAAAAGTGCAACCTCATCTAAGAAACTACAAGAAAACTGAAATATGCGGGCTATATTTGCCTATAAATCGCGTCAAACTTGGCGCTTCGTTGCAATTGCAGAAGTTGAACTGAACTCCTAGCTACTAGTTTCAACGAAGGTTGCGGTAATAAACAGACCATGCCCTGCTGTACGATGAATTGGCTTAGTGCGAAGAAATTTTTCTCCTTTATCCATTCGAGCACTTTACGCCTCTCTTGAATAGAATATTCGGGAGCCAACTGGAAATTATCGTTAATGTTAGTAGTACCTTGAAAAAGACGGGCTTTATGCAGACAATGTCAACTGGTCATAACAGCAGTACTGAGCATTCTTAATACGAAAGTCTAAATAAGGAAAAGGATTCCATTTCATACCTCTTGTATGTCCTCTTTCATTCCATTATATTTCCCAAAAAGAGCTTTCAGTCGGTTCACCTGCTCAGCAGTGCACAGTTCTTCTGCCTAAACGAAAGCAGTAGTTCCTTGGGCCTTCTTTTCGTAAACTTGTAAATGTTCAGTAACCCGATTTTAGAACCTGTTGGATTACGGTATCTCTGTCAGCGATTCCCGCAGTTTTACAAAACGTGAAGCTGACTTCGTTTACTGGAATGGGCTAAGATTACCTTTCTCTCCACTATTTCGTACGCTTCGATAATATTTGCATTATCGACTTGTTCTCGAATTTCATCAAAGTACGGCGCATTGTCTTTGATTTCCTTGTCAAGCTTCGTGAAACATCGTTCATCTGCAGCTACGGTTATTTCAGAGTTCTGTAAGCACACATGATTACAGTATTGAATTCTAAAGTCGCCAAAATTTCAAGAAAGAAAGAGAAATGTATCGAGGAATTTCATCTACGGTGGTTAGGGAGATTTATTGACAGAGTTAGGAAGTTTCCATGGAAATCTAGAGCCACCGCTTTTTATAAGATCGTTTACTATTCAACAGAAATAGTGTATGATAGGTTAAGAAAAAGTAGTACTACCAAGTTGTTCAAGTTAGCGTATAATGGCTATTTAGTGTAGCACGATTCCTTCGCCTACGGTTTCTGCAGAAGCCAGGAATTCTGGAAATGGATTCCCTTTTAGGAAACCAAATTCTATCACCAGGTAAAGAATTCAACGGGCATAAGAATGTCCAGCTATTACCCAGAATCTTAATGGCAGTTGCGATCTCGAATCTTTTCTTTTTATATCGAAGATTTAAATTTTTTACCGATTAAACAAGAAAACTGAAGAGAACAGAATAACGAAAAAAGGATAGGATATTTAGGGAATAAAGCACTCACAGATTGGAGCAGCTCCGGTGTTGGAAACGACGAGCCGACTGGTCGTACACTTCTCTGGAAGAATAAGTGCCTTCATCGGAATGTTGACAGTAATTGAGGGCAGCACAACTATTGCACCATTTTCAACTAACTTTAGTTACAATTAGACAACTAACGATCAAATCAGAAGATTTTCAATACAGCATAAACTACAAGCTTGCAACTCAGAGGTAAGGCCTGTGTAGTTATAGTAACACTGTGCTATACAAACTGGTCCTGTTCCAAGTATTACAACGACTATTCTTGCTATAAGTACCATTTTGCGAAAGGCAGTACCTAAAAACATCTCCCTTGTTGCTACCAATCAAGGGTCGATGGGGAAAGTGTTTCACCGTCTGGATCAACGTGCGTTGTTTTGGAAAGAACACATTCAGCTTTGATGCATGCTTATAGTTTAGATGTGCTAACAACCACTCAGATATCTTCTACAAAAAAACTGTTCTTCATGCTGATCAAATGGTACTACGAGTGCTAATTGTAACGAAGTGTAAACTGTGGGGCTTGCTCTAAATGAACCACGTTTTCTTGAGTTCTCATCGCTCAGTACTATCGACAAACCAAAAAAAAGCGAACTTTTTCACGAAAACTGAGGACGGAAGTTTATATGAACGTTCACAGATTGGGCAAATGAGATGGAATGGCAGCTAGCATAATCAGTTGCAGTAATAACTATTGGTACACTATTAATTTTACTTCATAGAAAAACATTTTGATGTAATAGCAGCAGTACGCCACGCAAAGCGCGCGTGTAGGCCGCATCGCCGATTCTATCAATACCAATGTTTTGTGTACTAATGCATAGCCGGCACGACGAAGTATGCAAGCAGAGACGGCGTTAATTCTCAGAACTATGCAGTTATCTTACGAAGCCGGATGAACGAAATAGACAACAATTACGAATTTTTAGTTTTTATTTTTTTTTGTTTAGTTTAACACAAACTAACTTTTAAAGCATTTTCGTTCAATGTCATCAACGTCAACCTCTTATTTGCTGCCTACTATACTTTTTCACGACAGGATGTGACGTGACATACAACTACAACCATGCTGAGATATTCACAAAACTTGGACGTCGAGCCAGATCGAGCCATCACTCCCCTTTCCGGGAGTTCGGCATTTTAGTTTAGCTTACTAGTTAGTTTTATAGAGAATTCCTCTATCAGATCGGGAATTCTCTATCAACCTAACAAACACATTCTATAAGTTGATATAGACCGCATTTGCCACAACGTCCACGTGCCTGCCCTACATCCACATTCCATTCTACCCATCAGGCACGCCACTAGACACAGCATCTTGTAACCATTTTTCACACCACCAGGCATGCTATTGAGTACGTCTCATTGCTTGGGGATTTGACCCCGCGACCCGAGCCTTGACCCTACGACCAACGCCACTCGCTTGGACGTAGCCACTCCCACTAATACCGTCATTTGGCTTCTGACGACGCCTTGGAGATCGCCGATGCCATTCCATCATCATTTCCCTCCCGTTTAATCTTTCTTTTACAAATTCATTTGCTTAGGCTGTAATGATATTAACTGTAATCCTTAGCTCCTGCATTTCCAATACATTAATGTTATCGTCGATTCTCATGTAATTACGTTGTGTTATTAACATAAGTTAAATACCTTCATTGCTCACAGATACGTTACAAGCAATTCTTCACACTTATTCACTCCCGCGAACGCGTTTCATATTCTTTCGCTGTGAGCCGTTACACTGGTGCATACACTATTGTTAATGCCCACTACCGACTTTCTATTAACCTCAGCATTGATCAAGTAATTCTTTGCATTCTTGTTGAGCAAACGTGAGGTGTTACTTTTATTCTTTATTCATGAATAAGCTGACGTTTAGGCGGATTTCGCCTCATGCGTGATATTGGACAGTATACAAGACAGTTATTCTGAGGCACATTGCGCTTCCATGCGAATTCTGTGCGGTTGGTCTTCACGCGACATACTCAGTGGAGGCCTCATAGAAAGCCGCGAGTGTGCAAAGCTGTGTTCAATGTGATTGAAATCTTGGTTTAGCGTTTTCTCTGTTTGGTAACGGAGGTGTTTGGCCGAATAGATTCCTGTCAACTTGCCTGTTCCAGGCTCTGAGAAAGGCGAAATCCGCCGAAGCGTCAGCTTATTCGTGAATAAAGAATGTTGTCAATGCATTTTATTAGGTAAAACCCACTGAGGCACTCCACTTATAATTTGTTGTACATATATTACAAATCTCATTGCATTGTTGTGCAAGCGGTGTGTATATACGTATAAAGGTTTAATTACCCAAGTTTGAGGTGCGTTACAAACAATTCCTTCCTCTTATTCACTCTCACGAACGCCTTTCATATTCCTGCGCTGTGAGCCGTTACAAGTTTGGCGCAGTTTGCTATTATTATAACCAATCAACATCAATGAATGAAAGCTAGATTTTTTATCAAAGGAAACAGATCTGTAAATGATGGAAGTGTAAAGTTGACTAGATTGCCATTTTCACTCTTAGCTTTAAACAGCGAGATTTTATAGCTCTAGAAGAAAATGGAATAGTAATAGTATTGTGCTATAAGTGGCACTGGACCATAATGTATATCACGTCACTAAGTATGCTATAACTCGATTGTCACCCATATTTTATTCCTAAGTTGCCGATTTTCACAAAAGAAAGAAAAGTCACGGAGCAATTAGCATTTAAGTGGTAGTTTTCTGGTTTTTACAGTCGCTCAAGATTTTTTCTCGCTGGAATCTCGAAATAAAATTACTAGGGCTTTTCCACACCATCACCACGGAAGTCACCGGTCGTTTTAGAACGGGGGGAGATTTGCTACCTGGCCTCTAGGTTGCTACCGCAATGGCTATGTTCCTGGCATTGGTTTACCTTGAAATAAGCTTCTGGATGTAGTTGTCAGACCTTTTCTCAGCTGCTACTCAGGGAATGAGCTCACCATTCACATCGCGTTTCGATACCCAATAACACTTAATGCCACAGTAACAAGGAACACCATCGATAGGTGATAGTAATTATTATTAATATAGTTCTTATTAGCCGTGCGTGTGGCGTAGTGGTTGGGGGCGCCATTGCGACACACACTTGGAATCGATCTTAACGCCCATGGCTCACCAAGCCTTCCATGCCTTCGGGGTTGGCAAATTGGTACCAGACTTCTCTGGGAGGAAAGCAGCACTGGCCCGATACATCGGTAGGCCACCGCGAGTTATTGCAAAAGCCAGACATGCATTCATTCACCTCCAACAATACTTAATGAAGTCGAATGCATGGCGCATCCCTCAGAGATTGATCAATGCCGAGAGCTTTATCCTTTATCCTTTGTAGTTCTTATTATTCAGGTATTACTGTAGGCATTAGTCCTATAACTATGCACAAGTAACTGACTGAATTACTAAACAAATGAATGTATTTGTGCAATCATTTCATATGAAAGAGACTAACACTGAAAATTCGTGATGTGAAAACATTCCGAGTTAGTGAGTTGAACAGTTCCTAAAATGATACTTTGCTAAAACAGGTGGAGCTCTAACCGGTAATAGGGGAAACCACCACTTTTAGACAATAACCTAATCGCCATTACAAATCCCTTAGTGTTACATTTATTTAAAAATGTAGGGAACTGAAAGTAAGTCAGTGTGAGATCAATTTAAACTCGATATCGTCGATTGGTGGTAAATTTGCTCAGATTTCTAGTTTCTTTACCTTTTTTACCAGCTTGCTTTCAAAGCTACGAAAACGATTAATACCTCACCATGATTCGCTGAAGACTAAATAGATCCATGATTGCTGGTCCTATCGGCTCCGATTGACGGTTAAATTCCTAGAAATGGAGTGCTTATTGCTTCATACAAGTGTTACATAAAAGATCTGAAGGTGTATTCTAACGGTAGTTACTCCTGATTGTCATCGAAAGGATTGTGGGAAAATCTTTTGTATCTCATTCAACGAGTTCTTGTAACAAACCTTGTGATCGCTATGGATGTTAAAAATCATAAGTTTCTTAAACCTTCACTACTTGTTTCGAAATGATGATGGATAATAGTGCATTGGTTTAGTTTTAGTTTCTATTTAAATGGCTTGAGTATTGAAAATCTGACATCAGTGAACTCTGTCTCCCCTCAGCCACTCCCTGCCTTTTAGAGTTGCATGAAGAAGATGTTGAAATCTTCTGACGTATTTATTTATATGATCTTATAAACTGATCTTCTTTAGCTGATAGACTTAGTCCCACTCGTAAGATTACGGCTCTAGGGAAGGCGAATTCGCCGAAACGTCAGCCATGGACCAACAACACCAACGACAACGACAACGATGGCCTATACCAACCTCACATCAGCTAAAGATTAGTTTATAAGATCATATAAATAAATATATCAACTATCTATGCCGAGGTTTAAAGAAAGTCGGTTTTTTGAGTTATTAAGAGATCTTCTGACGTATCTCTTTTTCTTATTTGCTATTTTTACCAATAAATTAACTACAGGAAGCTCTCAGGATTCCTATCTAGCAAAGATTTACTCCTAGCCAGGTTGCCGAATAAAAATCTGAATTTCTCATTATGGGGAAGGATACAAACCTACGTACTTTAGAATACATATCTCGTTATAACCAAGATAAAGTGATAAAATATAATTTCAATGATGCTGAGATATTTGCAAAACTCCGGACCGCAAGCGTCTGCGGTGGGAACGAACGCGCTATTGTCCTTTCCGGGGAGTAACGCATTCACCACCACACCAGGAAAGTCCATCGTTTCGTCTGTCTCTCAGCTAGTTCTATCGATCTCTGCCAGCCCAAATCGGCATTGAACCCAGTTAAGCTGAGGCTGTAGTTATAAACACAATTTTGACTTGTTATTTACTGCCTACTCTTTTTAATGGCAATAAATAATGAGTCAATATTGTGGTAAAATATACACAGAGAACAAAATTGGACTTGAAGTGAGCAGGAGTGTTGATATCAAGATCGGTGGTGTTTCACTTACCGGCTGTTCTCCGTTGACACGAGTTGCAGCTAGTAGAATAAAAATAAAAACGATACGAGGCATTATTCAGCGTGACGATATGTCGGATTGTACTCGCTCCTGCATAGTACGATGCTTTTATTCGGATTCTGACGAGAAGCTGTGTAAATATGGATCACAGCGTTCACATGCACAACAGATTGTGTTATTTTTGGTGGACAATGTCTCCATATTGTGTGAGCTGTACAGAATAACAGAAAAAACGAAACGGAACATACCGCAACCATACGTGAACGTCTCATTGTTGTTGAACAACCATCGCTGCAGTCATCAGAACAAACAGTCATACGAATGTCGCGTTGTGATGTCCCGGTGTTACACAGACTAGAAAAACAGCTATGGTAGCTAATAAGTGTACTGTAACAAAGCAATAGCTTACTGCAAATCACTAATATCGTGATAAGTGATAGCAATGATGGATGATAGTAATGAACCACAAGCAATCTCTGCCCTATTTTGCCACGTTTCAATTACAATTTGTTGAAAACGGAGAACAATTTTGTGTCAGAAATATTTGCTGAAAATCTGGCTCACCTCGGATTTTCCCAGGTCGCCAGGCACCTCTATTCCATTCTACTGTGGATCAAGGACCGATTTTTGTCTATTTGGTAGTATGAATTTCATTTTACACAAAAGGTCAATTTCCTCTCATGCTCCTGAATCTTGAAAAAAAGTCTGTGAAAGGTTAGAAAAATATGAGCAAAATGAAAATGATATAATGAAAGAAATTTCGTCGAGTCGAGAACTATTAATTGAAAGCTGGTCACTAGATTAAGCTATATAATAGAGGGGGCCGGTGTAGAACAGTGGTAAGAGGCGCCCTGCAACAAATGAGTTCGATCGCGCTCTCTTGGCGCATCGACCCTCTCATCCCTCTGAGCTCGGCAAATGGGTGTCGGGTTGTCAGAGAGAACAGCCACACTGACCCAATACATCGGTAGGCCACTGCTAGTCAATGTATAGACCAGATATGCAATCAATAAACTCTAACGTTGATTAATAAAGTCGAATACATGGCGCATCCTTCAGGGATTGATCAACATCGAGAGCTTTTTCCTTTATTTTATCCTTACCCTAAAGAAGATCGAATGAATATTTGACTTATAAAATGAATTGCGGGAGCTTGCCGAATATAACTCAGTGGTTTTATCGTCCCAAACAGGTTTGGTACTAAGTTGTCGACCCTGGAGGGACAGAGGGCTTAGTTTTCCTGTGTCACGGGATCGAACCATTGACACAGTGTACATTACGGGGCATCATTTTATTTAATAGAGATGATAGATAGGACTGCAGAACACTAATGTTTTTTGGCGAAATGCGAAATGACAATGATGATTGGTAGACGGTTTAAGGACGTCGTTGATGATCGTGGCCACTTTTCCTTTCCCACCATTGATGATGATGACCCGTGGTGCTGATCACTCTGTCATTCTCATTCGTTTTACGTGCTCATTCTTTCTTGGTCAAGTTTGTAACTAGATTCAGCGAACTGTTAAATTATTAAAGTTGAAATCTGTGACTGCCACGACCGACTTTGTATTAACCTCGGCATTGATCAAGTAATTTTCTTCGTATTTTTGTTGAGCAAACGCGAGGTGTTATTATTCTTTGTTCACGATTAAGCTGCCGTTTCGGCGGATTTCGCCTTCCTCAGATCCGCTTCCTAAGAGGTTTCCACTAAGTATACTTCCCCCCACTATCCACTAAGTATCCACTAAGTATAGTATACTAAGTATACTTAGTGGAAACCTCATGCTCAACAAAAATACGAATGAAATCTGTGAATTCAGCGAACAAATCGATAACAGCAGATCTTTTTCTCACTTGCGTTTTCGACACGACTTCGAATGGCTAACAAACCTACGAGAGTTTTCATGGATATAACAGCTGATAAGGAACCAATCGGGAGATTAGTGTTTGAGGTGGGTGGAAGCAATAGAACTCAACACTAGGGAGACTTTTAAATATACAAAAAACAAAAGTAGGGACACGTGTTTCTTTATGGAAGACGGTTTTTACTATCGAGATGTCCTTCGGCTTTTTTCTGCATTGGCAAAAGCCACCGTAACCTCTCCATACCTGCGGCTGATTTTTTTGACTTTGTCAACTAACTCTAGACTTTCTTTCTAAAACTTTTTAGAATTTTTCCAGAAATAACGAGATTTATAGAACGATCCAGATCTTTCCCAAGTAATGTCGATGCTTACTATTTTTATGAATTAATCAGCGATAAAAAGAAGAGAAAAGAAAACAGAAACATTTAATGTCACCCTTTATTTTATTTGATACCTACTAGCATTTTTCACGGCAGGGTATGATTACATTTACTTTTACATTTTTTTTCTTTTTTTTTGTCATTTACAACCACGATGATGCTGAGACATTCGTAAAACTTGCACCCCAAGCCAGACCGAAGCACGATTACTCTTTCCGGGGTCTCGCGTACTACACACTGCACCACTGAGGCCCTTGCTTTGCCTTTCTCTCAGTTAGCCCCCTCCCCCTAGATCTCACCTGGGTCCAAGTTTCGCGAATGTCTCAAAAACCACTAAATTCAACTGTAGGACTAAATTCTCGACGTTTTTTATTAGGTCGGTGCATATGAAATGTCTCTCTCAAGACTTATAATTTTAACATTTTCATGGGCTTTAACTTTAGCATGCATCGATGTGATATACGTGTCCCTTTTTCGTACGAGTGGAAGAGTAGACGTAACGCCACGGCAAGAGCTCGGAATATCATCATGTTTAAGGTGAAGCTAGCTAATGTTGGTGAATCAACAGTGCGAACAAGGTTCCGGAAATTCCAACATGGTAATTTCGACCTCGAAGATGGCGAAGGCCGCCGATGTCCCAGTGAGCTTGACGACGACGAATTGAAGGCAGTAGTGGAAGCAAAGACGTGAACAACTGCGCGGGAACAATTTCCACTCACTTGAATCGCATAGGAAAGACAAAAAAAGCTCGACAAGTGGGTGCCGCACGAATTAAATGATAATCAAAAATATCACCGTTTTCAAGTGTCGTCCGCTCTTATTCTGCGTAACAAAAGCGACTGTTTTCTTTATCGAATTGTGATGTACGACGAGAAGTGGATTCTGTACGGCAACCGGCGAGATTCAGCTCAATTGCGATCAGGCTCCACAGCACTCCCCAATGCCGAAATTGCACCAAAAAAGGTTATGTTGACTGTTCGGTGGTCTGCAGCCAGGCTCATTCATCACAGCTTTTAGAATCCGAGTGAAACGATTACGGCAGAGAAGTATTGCCAATAAATCGACGAAATGCACGATAACTCCAACAACAATCGGCATTAGTCAACAGAAATGAACCAATCCTTCTCCACGACAACGTCAGGCCTCACGTTGCGGAATCAGCGTTGCAGAAGTTGAACGAGTTCGGCTAGGAAGCTTTGCCTCATCCGCCATATGCATCAGATCTATCGCATTATCAATCTTCTTGAAGCACTTTGATAACTTCCTACGCGAGGAATGCTTCACCAAACACGATGACGCGAAAAATGCCTTCAACGAATGCACTGCTTCCAGAATTCCAGAATTTTATGCAACTGGAATGAATAAACTTGTTTCTTGTTGGAAGAATGTGTTGATTCTAATGACATTTACTTCGATTGACAAAAACTGGTATGAAAAAGTTACGGCTGCTTAAGGTTTACATTTACAATCAGACATTTCATATGTTACAAACTAATAGAATTATAAGGGCGCAATGAGAAGAAGAAGGATTTTTCAAAGATTATTTGTGAGTCTCTCAAGAATTTTTGGTAATTGTTAGCGCAGAGATTCGTTATAACGAAAAAATAGGTAACCTTTATGGGTGACTTATTGGGACAGCGTTTCAATGCTGAAAAAAAGGTTATTGTTTTCAGTTGAATACGAAAATTTGTCCTAAGACGAGCGAGAATTTTCGAAAGCTGTGTACCGGCGAATTGGGTTTCGGTTATAAAGGATGTCATTGGTATCGAATTGTACCAGGATTTTGTGCATGTGTGAGTGGATTTTAGTTTAGAAATACTCTGTAGTGTCGGTTTTTCAGACCCCAACTTTTCAGGAAATAGAATGTACAGGATTTTTCTAGGGTCATAAATTTATCTACGTTATTCCTCTCTCAATGGATTTCCTTCAAGTGATCTCAAACTGGCTAGTTGAGTGGCTACACAACGTGTCCGCTGATGGTAAGGAGGGAGTCGAACGCGTTTCGCAGAGACCACATGCTTTTCCGGAGACCTTCAGGGGATTGACTTCATGTCTCTATTATGTTAGATTGACTTATGCGTTTCCTATGCTCCCAGTTATTCTTCATAGATACTTTGATGATCTTGTTCATGAAAGTTGCATCCGGCACTTCTATTGGACAGCAACATGCGAACAAATAACTCGGAAGTATATAGGCGGTTTGGACTAAATCTCCAAGCAAAACTGGCTTTCACTTCGGAGGAACGTCCAAGATGCCTGTAATCATATCCGAAAACCACAGCTTTTTCCTGGATGCTTCTTGTGAGATTCACAAAGTAAAAATACTAAAAATAAATTGGGTAGCTCTGATGTGCATGAAGGCTGATGAAATTCTTGTTAATGTCCATTTGAGGTATTGGATGGCTAGCGGTATTACGGATAGAATGATACATAGATAGACAGCACTTCTTTCCTTTAAGTTCTATTTCTTTTCGTTCTCGTCAAAGATATGAAGCGCAGTGATCGTACTCTGGATGTCCTACAGTATCCTCAAGCTTGCCCTTTTTTTAGACCGAATACATTAAAAGCTTGCTAAGTCATTGTGGAGAAAACGATATTTTCAGTCTGGAGATTTCGAGACACAAAATGCCGACCGTAAAGGAGGCCGAAGCACTTTTGACACAAAGTACTTTGACGACGAAAACCATACAATTCTTCACAATAAAAGGTAAGCTTCAGGGGTCAAACCACCCAGATCATTCGATCCACTACGATCCTTACGTGTGAACGTCTGATTCTTTAAGAGGTATATTGTCTATGGACAATTTCGGTTGGCCGAATACTAATTCAAGTCGTTTCTTCGTCACCTTTACGGAAACGCCATGGTGAGTGAGGTGACTCTAACAAATTTAATAGTAGCAATAGTAACAACAATAATAATAACGTAATAAGAGATCTTCACTATAATGCTGTGCACTAATCTGCAAGCAAGTCAATACAACCACAATGATGCTGAGATATTTGCAAAACCGCAGGTGTCTGTGGTGGTGAACGAACGCGTTGTTACTCTTTCTGAGGGCTCTCGCGTTCAAGTTACAAGTCAGTTTGTGTGCAAATAGAATTCAATGAGATCGTTTTGTCTTTAAAAAATCCTCTCTTATTTAAGTGTCTCATTTTTGTAGGCAGGACGGAAAATCCATTAAGTTGTTTAATGCTTGATTTTCTAGCTAAGCACAACCTTATGCTGACTTGTATTCAGGATGAATAACTTTCACGTTGCTTTTGGTGAACTCGTCGATGGATTCGATGTGCTGGATAAAATGGAGAGCTACGGTATTCTGGAAGGTGAGCAAATATGATTACATGATAAAGCAAATATCTAACGGAGCCAATCTGCTTGAATAACTTTTAGAAATTTAGGGTATGGAGCTCAAAAAGGCCGTACCAGTAAGCTAGTGGTTACCGAGGATTGTGGAGAGCTGCAACAGTAACAAATACAACAGGGTATCGAAATACGAAAGAAATACAGTATACGCCATCGGAACTGGATTATTCTAGAAAATTCTATAATTATGACGAACTACTTTGCATCTCAACGTCTTTGCAAATCATTTAATCTGTCAGAGTTTTCGCACTAATCGATATTCCTGAATTAGCTGGAGGCAAAAGCGCCTTTCCTTTATAGAAGTGGTAGTTACTTAATGTCGTAAGGTTAACATTTACCTTAAGAAAACTACTTAGTAAAATGCTTTATTAACCTTTCTAATACGTTTTGTATTACTAGTTTTACTACCTCGTGCTTTTCCTCTTAAAAGTATTTCAACAGCCTAAAGGCCATCCTAGGTAAGCACCTTTGCAAATAATAACGTTATACCACAAGTCAGCTTAACGACTAAACGACCGTTGACCTCGTCTGCTACCACATATTGTCAGTGCTGTCACTATATTCAGTTGCTATCGTTTTCATTCTCTATTGAAACCATCGATTTTCTTGCATTTGTGTTCAGCACATGTACAATTGCCTACATTCGGCACCGGATGGAGGCAATCCACTGATTGAGCGTAATAGCTGTGCAGTTGTTGCATCCTGTCCGCAAGAGTGGGCACGGAACCAACGGAACGTGGCCGACGATGTGCCTCCGACAAACAGTCCATCACCAGCGACCATCTGAATGATCATCCAAATAGCGGAACACATGTGAAGACTGTCGTATATCAATAGTTTGATGTCACATTATCGGGTAATTACTATTAATTACATTACTCGAACCAACAGATCTTCATTGATGAAATTGAAACCTCTCACATTTGAATCAAAACCAGTCAATAAGTTCAAACTGATTCACTTACACATTCAGTGGACAATTTTGTGGGCATGTAAGACCTCGATCGGGTAGTCGGAAACTTCTGAAAGGTGGAAAAAAGATATTTAATTACTGTAAAGCAAACATGCGGTAATTAAATCTACTCTGCAGAAATTATGAATGCTACCGACATCCATACGGACTTAAAACATAAACTACATGGAAAAAAGAAGTTTCTTCGATATGGAAAACCTGCAGGATCTTACGATGGGAATCAGAAATAAACGGTGGTATGAATCTTACCGTTGAATCTCATCAGATGTTCTTTGATAATATGGCTCTGCACCCAGTGCCATACATTCCCAACAGAGAATACCGAACATCCTGGGCATAAAAAACAATTTAGTTGGCATCTTTAGCCGAACAACCATAATACATGAAAAAAGTACTTAATTGGAATACATCCATAGGGATGCTGAAATAATAATCGCGGGTTTGAAACCCAATTGAGGTTCCGAGTTTCGTTCGTATCCCAGCATACTCATGGTTGTTTTTCACATAATACCCCGCCATGAAGAAAGAAGAGGCAGTAAACAAAAACTTAAACAAGATAGCTATTTGTTTTAACTGCTAATTCCAACCCGGCCTATTGGCCATCTGCTTAGAATAAAGCTGCAATCATTTCTATACTAAACTAACACTCCACTTTCAACTAGCGGTTGCTTACACTCACCAAATATCGCTTTCTTGCCTAATCTTCGGATTTATTACGGTAGAACAGATGACTTCAGGCGGAAGACGAGACGTCGTCGGAGGATAAATGTAGCTCAGCTTTACTGTGCAACTGAAATTCATGCAAAATATTACCTTGAAAGAAAAACTTTTTGTGATAAAATATGGAAATAGAATAAGACATTATTCATCTTCTGCGCTATAAAATCTGCTAATATGTGTCACATTATTTTAGTGAGTGAAAGCGTGGAACAGGAAGTGAGTGGAACAAAGCGCTCAGCGTCATTCAATCTCCTTGAATACGTCATGTATTCTACTCCATTAGTGGCATTGCGAAGGTGATTGCATATGTACTTAGCCTATAAAGTAACTCTGGGACATAGAAATGTGGCAAATCAGTGATTCTATCTCCTCTCCCCTCTCTTCCCCTCCCCACTCCCAGATACGTATGGCGCCAATTTGCCGACCCTGGTGGAATTGAGGGCATGGAGAGCCAAGAATACAGAGTCGAACTAAACAACCTCGTGTGCATTACAACGCGCCTCTAACCACTACGCTAAACGCAATTTACCTTGTTATCAAGCTCAAATTTCTGACTTTATTTCCTGGAATGTATAGTTTAAGACTAGGCCTAGTCGTTTCAAGAACTCCAAGGACTCGCTCTCATATAAAGCGGTGAGACCTATCTCTAACTGCTTCGCTCACCGCTTCAGATCTCTGCACGTCAACTGCACGTTCTCCGTTGTCACTGAACCATGTGCTAAATCGCCAAGAACTTCATGAAAATGTTTCAAAGCGTCACTGATTTGTGCCAGCAACCCTAGCATATCACGCAGCAGTACCATCGGCCGCTCGCGCTCATCTTTTTCCTAAACACACAAATTCCTGACTCGACGGCGAACACCGTTCATTTATGTTTCACTCACAACGAACTCTTATCTGATGTTGAAAGTAATCAGTAAGGCTTCCACCATCAAGCCATTCAATTACAACTGCCGGTCGAAGAACAGTAAACGAAAGATGAGAAATGGCAACTACTCGGGAGAGGTGTGGGTGTGAGAGACGACATATTCGTGCCGATTCATCGAGTAAAGCGACACTGTGCATTGGATTCGGATAACTGACCTGTAGAAGGACTTTATGCGATTTATTATGCTTATTTTCTTTAAAAAATCTTTAGGCGTTCTATAACACCGTCAGTAAGTTCTGGAGAGATGAAAGAATGCAATGCAGATATTGCTAAATCTTGAGTACTGGAACGTTAACAAGTGTAAGTTCGTCAAGCTTCAAAAATTTGAAAGACTATGCTTATTCGCGTACTTAAATCAAATAGGTTACGAATTCTTCGGATTTTCTGAAACCACAATCATCTACAAACGTACTTTTACCGCCACCGAGACTCTTTCAGTAGTACGATGCTTCACACGTGGTACCATAGTTCCGAAAAAAACCGTGCCCTGAGCTGTATGAGCTAATGGTTTTCCGAAAATTTCAATGTCATTATCCTCAATCAAAAGACACGAGAGTTCTAAAAGAGCGCAATTTTTCAAATTACTGAAAAAACAGGGCAAATTTACTCAATTATGCATAGAAAGTCAGATGGACTATTACTCGACGCTCACCACGTTTCAGTTGTTTCAGATGTTTCTGGTACGGAAAGAGATTATCCGGTACTGGTTCGCACATTTTCTTCCCATCTGAAAATAGTAGTAGTAAAGAAACGTGAAGTTACTTATGCTACAGGAATGGGTTAAGATGCAAAGCAGACTGTAGCAGCCCGTCAATTAGGTTGTTCGGAAACTAATGGCAACCTGTATTTTCAAAGTCGCATATTTTAGCTCAGAATAAACTTTGCTGCTAGAAATGAAAGCAAATTAGAATCCGCATTTTATAAAATTTAGAATTTTTGGTTCATATGGGTTTTTTCGACATGCTTGGAGAAGTGGTACTCAATAGCCGAGAGATCTTCTGTGTTTGGTGGGAGAGGCAGTTTCGTAACTCAATTTATTTAACCATAGCAGAAGTTTGGCAGCTCGTTATCATGGAGATAGATTGACGCTTTTCTGTGGACCAAAATAGAGCACAGCGGTTGAAGTTATTGGTGTGTTTCGTTGATTTACTGGACATGCTTTCCGTATTCCGAAGAGCGCGTGTAGCGCTGTGGTCGGAGGCAACCTGCAATACACATGGGATCGATCACAGGGCCCAAAGCTCACCAAGCCTTCCATCTCCCCGGAGTCGGAAAATTGGTGCCAGACTTGTCTTGGAGGATAGTAGCACTGGTTCGATATATCGACAAGCCACTCTGAGACCAAATATGCATTCGATTATCTCCAATGGTGCTTAACGAAGTCTAATGCATTGCGTAACCTTCAGGGATTGATCAACACTAAGAGCTTTAACCTTTAATTCTTTTTACTTCTCCGCTGTAGTCACTTCACCTGAATACAGGAAGTTTTGGTGGATCAAGCCAGCTGTAAATCACGGTCAACTCAACTCGTTTAGTTCGATTTCTACTTTTGAAGTGCTTCGAAGATTCATCGCTGTCCAACCACTGAGCCGATCGTTCCCAGTTGTCGTTTAGAACCCATTCCCGATCGTATATCACAATTCCATCAGAAAACGGGTCGTTCTGGTTCAGTAGATAAAGCGCCAACAATACATCACAATTGGGAATTCTTCAACTGCCATTCAATTTGTGTGGCATCCATTTACGAAGTGTCCTCGCCTTAGCAACTATTTAGATCCCCCGAAACAGTTGAGGCGCTTATATGCAGTTCTTCTACACGGTCGCAAACGGCTGTGCATGCGTGCCTTCAGGTGAACCCTTAAACTCATCGTCGTCATTATCGGAACAATTTCAACGAACTGTCTCATCTTCAAGGTCGAGTTCATTAAAACGAAATTTTTCCAAACCAACGCTGCAATGCGTGTTCGATAAAACCTCCTTGCTTCCCTTGAATGTCTCAAGCTGCTTGCGTTGTAATTGGAAGTGGATTTATCGAAGTTACCGGTTTAATATCCGAAATTCTAGTCTTTAAAATTTGTCAGCAACACAATTTATAACCACAGTGATGGTAAGATATGAGCAAAACTCGACACCCCAGATGGGCTTCGAAACCGCGGCTACGCCTTACAGGGATCCATGTGCTACTCATCGTACCAACCGTTGTCTGGCTTTGCCTTTCCCTGAGCAGGTTTTTTTGCTCTTACGGTGATATTGGCAATCAGTGGTCAATGGAAAGCATATATGAGCAGCAATAATAGCCGGAATAGTATGTGAGCTTCCGAGTAGTCGCGGGTTCGAAGCCCAGCTGAGGGTTTTTAGAGGGAGTGGGGGAGGAGGGGGTGTTGGTCAATTATGTAGGTTGAAGATGCATAAAATGAGCTTTGCAATAATATATAACAAAACAACGCTTTAAAAAATATAGCAAAAACATAAGCAAAAGATATTTGCAGAAGTACGCTGAGAGACAGGCGAAACGAAGGAGCCGCTTGGTGTGGTGGTAAACGCGTTAGTCTCCGGAAAGAGTAATAGCGCGTTCGTTCCCCAACGCAGACACCGGCGGTCCGGAGTTTTGCAAATATCTCAGTAATATTGTGGTTTTATCTCGCTTAATACTCTGCCGTAAAAATGATAATAGACAAAAAAGTACACATAAGCAAAAGAATTGTTACGAATCTGACATTAATTACCGACAACCTGTAAACGTCTATACGGCCGTATACAGTTCCGCCTTTAGTCGACCACGGTAAACTCGCCTCTAATATCAAATCTCTACCAGGGCAAGTTTTCGTTTCGTAATAATAATGAACGTATGTGCTAACTTCTGCAAATCCACCAAATCACGAATAAATAGCAAGTAGTTAGTGCGAACACGGTCGCCCAAGGTGTCATGTATGAGACCTGGCATTGATCGGTGACCAGAGTTCCATTCTGAACAGTCATAAAGCCTTGACCTCTGTAATCAAAACTGATTGTTCTTAGGACTAATAGCTCTTTAAGAGGAACGATCCAAAAAAAACATTGATCATCGCAATGCAGCTCCTAAACGAATTAACCTGCTTGCAATTGTTCATGTGCCACATCTGGTTAACAGAAACTCTCATCTACTACCTGACGTTCTATTGATGGTTATGCGACTTAAGTACGGCAGAGATGGGCAAAAGGTTCTGTTCATTCGACATACTCAAAAGGTATCATTCTTTTCTAGAATCTTCGTGAAGAGGTTTGACAAGCTGCTTGGTGGCCATTTCGTTATGCCACTGACGGCAGACATCACGTGGAGCGCAGTCACTTATCGTTCTATGGTTCTTGTCCAACGGACGTCGTCTGATCCTGTGTATACGCCTGCATTTTCGACTTCTGGTCATTGACATAAGACTGAACTCTAGATTCCCTCTTCGATTTCCATAATACCGGACACAACTAATATCACCATATCAACACCGAATTGAAAACGATGACAGCGCTCTCATCCGTCTCCATAGAATGTTAAGTATTCCGAGGAGTACGGTAAGGCATGAAGAATCGTTGAGTGGAAAAGTTAAACGATGAGCGAATTGTTTTTTGCACTCCTACGTTTTCGACTCTCTTGTAAGCTTATTGTTCAGGTAAGAAGCCGTCGTTCATCTAATTGGCTTCGAGAACGACTGACATTCTTCTTGGCCACTTTCTGGTGGTATATGAAGGATATCTTCAGCAAAATTCATAGTTACCATATGGTGTCTAGAAAAGTGCCGGTGAACATTAACGAATGGCATCGCCTTGTAGAATCGCTCGCGTTACATCGATGGTGATATTGGTGTAGAAGGGAAAGATTTTAGTCACGAAATTGCTATCTAACCAACGAGTGATCTTTGCGATTGAATACAAATATCCTTGGTTGGCAAGTACTTCGCCTGTTGTTGCCATTGCAACAGAATACGTTCTATTTTCGTGGATAATTAAGCTAATAGAAGGAATTTTATAACTGCGTCCTGCGAAGTTAGTCATCGAAGAAATTGGCTAATCAAGCCGAGGTTGAAAAAAGTCGGACTCTAAAGGAATAGGCGGAAATGGAATCCAGTGAGATAGTGTATTTGTGCGAGAGTTTATTATATACCGACTTTCGAAACTGCTTGCTTGCGCAGTTAATTCTCATCCAGGTTTCGAACACAGCAGATACGAGGCATACTGTACGATGTTTTATAGAATTCTCTTCTTGTACGACAAATCTATACGTACGACAAAATAATGACGATCCTATTGAAAACATTGCATTTTGAGAGGTTACGTACGAATGGCCAAGCTCAGATGACGAAAAGGACTGTAAACAGGTAAATAGGTAGTAGAGAAACATTTAAGTTCGATCTTACCTTAAAGGGATGCTATATGATCCTTACACCTGCAAAACGACTACCGGTAAGACGTCATTCTCATCAGTGCCGTGGTTTGGAGGCTTGCTGACGTGAATGTAAAGCTGATCAGAGCAGACTTCCTGGATGACATCTCCGTTGCGGTTCTAACGCAGTGACTGGTTATTTCATGGTGATTCTAGGATCATCGTGGTTTCGCAGTGATAAGGTGTAGATGATAAAGCATTTGATGTTGATCAATCCATGAGGGATGGACCATGCACTCGCCTTTATCAATCATCGTAGAGGGTTTGGATACATGTGTGGCCCATATAGCGACTTGCGGGGACTTGGCGTTGTATATATCAAATAGACGTTTCTATCCATCCAGATAACTTTAGCACCAGTTTTCCGACCTTGATGTGATGGAAGACTTTGTGGACTTGGAGCGTTAGTGATAGATGGAAGTAGCGAGTAATATAATGTATATTGCAGATAACCTCCAACCAGTGCGCTACACTCGCACTTAGGTCTCATAATAAGGGATAAGGATAAAGTTCTCATAGTGGTGGTAATCGCAATGATAATAGTAAGCATTGCCCGGTCATGAGTAAGAACAGTATATAAACGGAAAAAACACTGGCTAAATTACTATGCGACCATCGCGAGCAAGTCTTGCTACGGTAGAGCTAATTTACATGGGTGAATAAACAATTCGAAAAGAAGTTGTTACAATGATACAAATAGAATTTTAAGTTAATGAAGATGTAGGGAAATGAGGCAACTGCGTCACCGTCCAGGTAGGTTGGCTACAGTCAAGCAACTCGGAAAGACAGGTTTCTCCTATGGGCTAAGCGAAACAAATCAATACGGCGAAAATCAAGCAAGTGGAAATGTTCGCTACGACAGCACTAATTCGTTCTCGAATAAGGAAAATTGAAGTGCAATCGGCAATCGTCTACTACGATGTTCGGCTGTTACAATGGCCAAGTGATAGTTATACCAGTAACAGAAATTTCTAAACGGCGGTATGAATAAAAGATAAAGGATTAGGCCTTCGGTGTTGATCAACCACCTTAGAGATGCGTCATGCCTTCAAATCCATTCATAACACCATAGAATCGATCGAACCCATATTTTACTTATATAAGGACTTGTGAGAGTTTACTTCATTTGACCAGATAATTCTCGTAGCAAGTAGAGCCGATTTCGGTGGGATAGCGGTTTGGCGAGTCCGGAACACGGATTGAACTGACCCTTTGTTTTGCAAAGTATCTGTAACCGCTCCCCGTATCCGCCGCAAACGCTGATAAGGCAATAAAAAATAGAAACTCTGTAGTAGAACGAAAAGGACAAAAATAAGAACTCCAGAATGAAGACAAGAAATAATTGCGCGTTATAACCCATGCTCTTCTGTAGCGAATCATATGATGCAGCCTATACCATGTGGTATTAAACTTATCCTGGAATACTTGAATTACTCTTCTTCAAAAATCACGAAGTACAAAGATTTGTGAGAGTCCCAGCGCAACCTCCGCTTACCCGTTAATTTACACAATTGGCAAGATTTTATTTCCATGGTGTCAAGGAAGAAATGTTAGAAACTTTCCAAACCTCATAATGTGCTACCTAGTGAATATTGCTGCCAGGATAGCAGTGACACCTGGCACTGGTTTATTCTTGACTAAGCTTCTACTACATAAATATACTAAACTTCTTAGTCTAGAACACCTTCGTAAGAGACGCCCTCGCTGTGCTTTGCGATTCGACACTTAGCAACACTCTCCCTTCCCAACCATATTCTACAGAGCTGCAGTGTATTGTCAACTGTCCACAGCTAGCAGTTTATTTTTGCGACATGGACTTTCGTAGTTGCAGTTGCATTGAGTCGAATCCACTGGAGTGAGCATCGCATGAATGGGCACTGTACTGAGCCAGTGGCCGTCAATCTAATATTCAGAATACTCACTGATTATGGGTGATGCCAAATACTTCAAAATGAGGCCTATTCAAGTCATTCGATGGGCTTTGGGAAGAAAAAAAAAATTGAAAGGAACTCTGAAATAGGATCGTATACCTTAGAAATATCTATGCTATTCAAATTGCATGGCTGATAACATTCGTCAATGCTGCTCTTCAGCTTTACTCTTAGAATTGTCACACCTAATCTCTGCACAAACAAAGAATGGACTAATCCTCTCCAATGGAACCGAAATGTTAACTGCACTGCAGAGACCAAGAGAGTAAGATGATAACCTTTCTTTCCTCACATTGTTGAGCATGATATTTGCGGCTAATCTACCTGTTACTGGAGAAGATTATTCTGTCGTGCTTACTACGAGCTTCTGCACAATTTCTCCCATTCTGGGCATCTAGAATAGACCACGACATTATGGATGATAATAGAAAAGAAGAACAATTACACAAGAGCAAAGAGCCATCAACCGCATTCTTGATTCTCATAATTCATTAATAATCACCATGGTATAAAACATAGACGGTGGTCGTTCCATTGTGGGGTCTGATTTCAGAAGGGAAATTTAAACGGCTTCAAATATTCCTCTATAGAAATTCCGCTTATCCTCATTAAAATGCATAAATTTTTACATCTCTACATGTACAAAACTGGCGTTCACCCATTTGACTGTCTTACCAGGCCCCTTATATTTCTGCCAACTTCAGAGCAATGGGGAAGTTGTATAAAAGGGTAAAAGATAAAGCCCTCGGCGTTGCTCAATCCCTGAAGGATGCGCCATGAATTTGATTTCATTAAACATCATTATTTGGAGATGATTGAATGCATGTCTGGCCTTTACAATGACTCATGGTGGCCTACCGATGCATCGACCCAGTAGTGCTATCCTCCCAGGCAGGTTTGGTACAAATTTGCTGACCCCAAAGGAATGGAGAATGGCTTGCTGGACCATGAGCGTGAGATCGATCCCATGTGTGTGTTGCAAGGCGCCTCCGACCGCTGCGCCGCACGTGACATGGGAAACATGTGCAGCCCAGAGGAAAGGATCGATCCAAAGGCTGCAAGTGTATTGTAGCACATCCCTAATCTTTGCGCTCAAAGCGCCACTCTAAAGCAAGAAAAAAAGCCATTTGTTCGAAATTACTCTCTTGATTTCTTCAAAAAAAATTGCTAGAATCGATTGTTCCCTATTGAGGCAATGCAAGCATCCGGCTGAGTAGATCAACTCTACCTTCTGCGGACTCTGACGAAGGCGAAATCGGAGATCCGTAAAATAAGTATTGTATTAGGGTCTTGGTACTTACCAAAAAAAAAGCACTACCTTGAAAAATCCGAAGTTTTAAAACAATGCACACTAATAAACTCCCTAACTACAATGTTTCAAAACCCCACGTTCTATAAATGGCAATCAACATAACACAGCTGTGTTCCATTGGCGTCAGAATTTCAATGAGAGCATTCTGGAAGTCCGTACACAATATTTCTCAATCCCAGCTCAAACTCGAATGTTTTTCTAAAGTGTTGTTCTACTCAACATGCTACACAATAAAAAAACAACAGTTTATTTAAAAAAACTTTCCGCGAGGAAAGCTGGACTGTCAGTTCGCCGAGGAAAATTTGAATCCTGTTTAGAGATGAGAATCTGTTCAAGAGGAAAGAAAAACGAATTCTAGTACTTCACAAAACTAAACACTTACAAATCCTTAGAACAGAATTCGAAAATTTCACAAAAATAACATGAACAACATTTTAGGAATAAATTAGACAATTCTTCACGTCACTGTTATTCATCCTTAAACGTGATATTATACGAAGGAGAACACAAAAGAGTCGCTAATATATGAACCTGACCACGAACGACTGAAGCACCATAATGATGTGAATATCATGGAGAATCTACACATCTGCTAATGCAGTGCTGCTTGTTTATAAAATGAAATAAGTAAAAGCACTACAGTGTATGAATAAAAAACCTAGCTGTTACGGTATTCACGATTTGTTGACTGTCGCTAGCTTCACGAACAGTAAAGAAGCCAGAAATAGTTGGACTAATGACAACAAACACTATACCACATCAGATATACACGACCAGACACTGGCCTTATTCCGCAACTATCATAGATTGAAAAGATCAGCATGCGGTCCTACCGTTTACTGTATTTACTGTTGAAATTTCATGAAAGAAATGTGAAATGAATGAGAAATATGAGTGAAGATTAAGTAGTGCCAAGCGGCAGAACTGGCAGATCCATCATAAACACTCGCAGAGAGCTTAACATCCCACTATCAACAAGAATCTGCAAAGAAATTTATAAACTTTGATTGAAACCCATAAAGCGGTCAAATTTTAGGCAGTAAACAGTTACCACAAGTCATCAACCATATGCGACTATGTTGTGTTTTTCTATGGAAGTAAATGTATGCTGTTTAAAAACCTCGCGATTGCTGAACAAGAAAACGACGCATTCATATTCCAATGAGGAGGTTAACAGAAAGTCGATCCTGGGAACTAGTAAACAGTTATTTGGATTAATCCTATTCCAGACCCAGCACTTGCGTTCACCTACGAACCGCACGGCTTTATTTACAAGACTCAATAATCTAAGCTTAGCATTGCACTATTCCAATCTCGACACTGCAAGTTTCTTTGATTGTATATTGTTTGATAAATAGTTTAAAGCGACACGAACGACGCGCAGACTCTAGAAATCTAACTTTACATCATGAAAGAGTCGTACAGTATCGTAAATTGCTGGTGATGTTGAGGAGATTCTAACTACTTCTTTTGAAATCACAATTTATAACTTTAAACTTACTCTAAACTTACTCTTTTCTATGGCAGGTTATGCGGAATACAACCACAATGATGATGAGATATTTGTAAAACGTGTTTATGGGTGGTTGATGATGGAACCGTTAGGGTAAAATACTGGACCAGTGAAAGGCAAAGCGAAGGCCTTGGTGGTGCAGTGGGTAACACGTGAACCTCCGATAAGCATAATCGCCAGTTCAAATCTGGACTGGCATCTGAGTTTGGCAATATTTCAGCATCATTGTGGTTGTAGTTCTCTAGAATTGAATAAATTCACTACGACCTGATACATATAAGTTTATAAATTGAAATCTCAAGTTACTGCCGCCCATGCATGCATTGAAATCGATGCATATGGCCGGGAATGTGGGTTAATCTCTCATTACTTATTGAATAATGCGACGGATGCGCACGCGACGTAAATATTGCGTCATGTTTTTTTATGTTCAGATTGGAAGTCGGACAACAATTGAATTCACCTTTCAGCAAGGTGTTGGTTGCGCTGCACGGGGTGAGGTGATCACCACATCGGCAACGACTGTGGACGAACCAACGGCAGATTTCGTTTGACCGTTGTGATTGGCCGTTGCCATGGATTTCGGTCCTCGACACGACGTCGACGAAACAGATGACGATGGCTCAGATGTTGGCAACAGCAGTTCGAACAGCGACAAGGACGGCATGAACGTACGCGACCATATAATGGATAAACGTTCGCGACAGCAGAGCAGATCGCGAGGATCAGTCTGAATCAAATGATACAGCTCCTACCTAACTAAAGAACAAATATACCCTACCTCAGGTCGAAAAATTCAAACGATTTTCGCATTCAATACAATTTCGAACCTTTACATAGAGCTATTACTTAGCTCTTAGACTTAAACTCTCATGTTGCTAAGATTTAACTCACTTTACATAGTTTAATCTGCACTTGAATTGCCGACATCCACTGCCTACTAGTCGCTTCAATTAGGAGGCTCACTACAGACAGCGCCAAAGTCGAAGGGGCGAACTGAGACATCACTGATGAGTCGCACACAATCGCTTCGATATGCGATCTACAATGATGTTATCAAAATTACTCGTTATTAGACAGCTGTTTTTGAAAAAGAAAGGGTTGTCACAAGGGAATATCAACATATTCGGTTGCGGGAAAAAAACGCAAGGGTATAATAGGATCTCGGACGATGTCTTTTGAAAAGCTCATGAAAATCAAAAGAAATCATTAAAAGAAAGCAAACCTCAGTGGTGACATCAACCACTGACCACACATTGGTTTTAGCAGAGCGACGAGAAACCGATCAAACGATGGCAAGTAGGCGTCCCAGCCAAGAAGATCTGAAGAAAGACAATTTCCATCATTCTAAAACCACTGGAAGACGATGATATTGCGCTTACCCAGAATTCGCAATTCCATGCGTTTCAACTCTCTTGAACTATATGACAGTCGAAGTCTTTGCAAGTACAAAGATGCATCTTCTTCGTGATCTTCACATAACTTCTTGGCTAATGACAGACATGCTGCTGCCACACAGTTCACATACCTAAACTAGTATTACACCGTCCTGAGTGGTTCTGTTAGTGAAGTAGTCGAACTACAAGTAAGAAGCTCGACAACAATGTTTTTCGTAAATCGCCAATGAGACAAAACAATGTGCCGTCTGTAGAGAGTAAAACAATACGCATACCACAGCTTAGCGAAGATTTCAGCTAGGCGCTTATCACAATCCTCTAACACACGTTACTGTGGATGTCCTTCCAACAGAAAAACTTTTTCAATTTTTTATCCCAGGTGACCTATACCTAGGATAAAAAGTTGAAAACTGGCATGAACCTCGGTTGCTCGAAAATCAATGTCGGATATGAGGTTTCATTATTCTCGTAGTGAGTGCTGAACCACTAAATATCATTGAGAGGTTTATTTTGTTCATTTTCACTTTAAATAAGTGGATATAAATTCTGTCCTGATGAATTTTAAAAGTTAGAATTTCAGATGTCAAGACAGCAATGTCGACAAATCTATTTCTACGAAGTCGAACTCGGATGTAATGAAGCTTGGAACATTGAAGAAGTATGGGAACTAAGAAGTGTTACCGAGCGCACAGTGTAGCATAAGTCTGGAAACTGAAGTAGAAGAAGGTGGAGGACTTCCTTCCACCACCAAAGACGATGAATAGGCTTTGGTGGGAATAAATACACCGACAACTTTTCGAGAACTTATATAAGAACTGCGACTAACCCTATCAACAGTTTTCTAACATTTATACAAGTTGGAAAGTCAACGAGGCTCTAGAAGTACGTGCCACACAAATGGAATGAGAATCAAAGAAATCGGCATTCTGAGATATCACCAGCGCTTCTGCGTAACCGGAACGACCTGTTTCTCCGCCGTATTGTGACGTGCGACGAGCAATGGACCTCTACAATTGGTGATGATCGGCTTAGTGGCCGGACCACGAAGAATCTTCGAAGCAATTCCCAAAGATAAAATTGTAGTAAAAGTAATTTACGCAGTTTGGTGCTCTAAAGCTTCACAGTTTCTTGAATCCGAGTGAAACGACTACGATGAAGAAGTATGTCCAGAAAATAGACGAAATCCACCAAAAATTTCAGCGGCTGCGCCATTCGCTGGTCAGCAGAAAGAGAGTAATTCTTCTTCACTATGACACGCGGCCACACTTCGCGTTGTCGACGCTGCAAAAGTTGAACTAGTTGGGATACAAAACTCAACCAGACCTCTCGCCTATCGACTATCAGTTTTCCAAGCATCTCATAAACTTCCTGTGCATGAAATGCTTCAGTAATCAAGCCGAGGCCAAAGCTACCACCTCCAACGAATTCATCGCCTTCACAACACCAGTGATCTAGGTAACCGGAATAAACAAGCTTGTTTCTCGCTGGTAAAATATGTGGATTCTAATGGTTTTTATTCCAAATAAAAAAGTCTGCTCTGAGTTGAGATATGCCAGCTAGAAAACACACGTTGACATCCGAAACCAATTTTCGGAAAGCCTTGTAGTTTTATGTTAATAATCGAAGAATTCAAAATTTGACACTCTCTTTGCAGTAGCAGTGCTTTCCAGTACAGCCTAGTGTCTCCATCACGCGAACATTTTGAACGGTTATTCACTTTCAAAACTTTTTTTTGTTATTGCGAACGACAGAAGGTATAAGAAGGTTTCAAGTAACAAACAAGCAAATGTAGGCAGTATTACTAAGTAGGATCATAACTGTCTAATTAAATTCCTTTTAACGAAAGTCAGAAATAAGATGAAACACCAAAGTGAAAACTCTTTCCTAAATTTTGGATAAATCTGAGTTCTCACGCTGACTCAAAGAAAAATGCAATAGGAAGCGTTAAGGTGAAATTTCACGGATACTTGTAGACCCATGTGTGATTACGCGTGTACTCCCCAAACCCTACTTAAGTGATATACTACAGCATGTCCGAAGAAAACTGAACTAAACGAACTTGAAAAATTTCGAGTTTAAAAATAGGAAAAGTTCAAAAAGTCTTAGCGCCAGTAGAGAACAAAGCCTACATTTTAAGGATGAACAAGGAGTAGAAGAAAACTTTTTGCGAATACTTACTTGGTCAGAACTCTTGTACCATAGACGACCCGGTCGAGAATTGCAACAGCGAGCGTGAACGAGTCAGCGCACAGGCACAGACGTCGTGCTGCCGAGCATATCCACGCTGCTTCACGATCACGGCATGACCAGTCGATCACACCATCACCCTGGATTGAAAAGTACGAAGCACCGAAGCATTGCTACGAAATGTAGAAGCACGGTTAAATTTCGATTCTCGAAGTGTCTCCTTCACGACATTTTCTTAGCCTACTTTTTCAACTCAAACATAAAACGAGCACTAATAACATTTAAAAAGTAAGAGACTAACTTGGGGCAATCTAGCAGGTATCTGGCCAGCACCATAGAAGATGTGTTCACGCTCGCACAACGATACAAGAAGAGTATTCGTTGACGTAAAACCATCCTCCATAGAACAACTGGGCACCGATTTCAACCAGAAATCGCTGCTAACCCTGAAACAGGCTTGATATCATGTCGACTGAATATAAAACTCCCACGAAAAGTAGGAGGTGAACACTACGTGAAGATCACTGGCAGCTTAAACGGCAAAAATAAGCGGAGACATTGGACATACAAGGGTATGAGCTACCATTTGTAAAGTAAATACACATTCTTGATACTTGGCCGTTGACATAAGTTGGAGCTTCGGATCTCTTCCCTTACTTGTGTAACACAGGATACTCCTAGCATCGTCCTTACGCTAAACGATCTTCCATCCTACTTACGCAGCCACCAGGTTTCTAGCGCATACGTTAGGACGGGGAGAATCGTAGAGGCGAAAGGGTGGGCACGGAATCGGGTGTTCATTGTGCTCTTCACTACATCCTCGACATCTTCAATACTCTTGAGAGCTCTTGAAGCCGCTCGCTTCCTCCTGCTCATCTCTGGAGCTAAGTCGTTCATCATCATGATTTCTCGACTTAGAAAGACGTAGCTGGAGCATTCGGAGATATCCGTTACTGAGCGTGACGAAACCAATCCGTTCCTCATGAACACTGTTTTCTGAGATTTAGTCGAAGACCAGTCTTTCCACAGGTTTTACCAAATTCGGCAAGCATACGTTCCGTTTCCCTAATGTTTGGTGTTATAAGGATGATATCATCAGCAAAGCGAAGATGGTGTGATTGCCGACCATCACTCCCATATTGTCCCATTCCAGCGTTCGCATGACATTCTCGAGGGTGGCGGTAAATAATTTTGGCGAGATGGTATCTCCTTGCTTAACCTCTCTTTTGACGTCGATGTTAGTATCGTCGTGAAATGGTGGTATTTTAGTTGTGGAATTCTATATAGCTCACGAAGAATTTTCATGTACTGAGTAGGGACTTTTGACTATCAAGTGCTTCCATGACTGCTTCTATCTTAACTCAGTGAAAAGCCTTCTTTAAATCGATGAAAATGAGATAGAGCGGTCTTTTGTACTCTCGTGATATTTCAATGAGTCTTCTTATCGTGTGGATGTGGTCCAATCAAAATGGGTAACTTTTCGCCGATTTAAATTCTAACATTTACTGGTACATCTTGTAATAGTTCCCAGGATCGACTTTCTATTAACCTCGGCATTGGAATATGAATGCGTCGTTTCCTTGTTCAGCAAGGTTGTTATACAGCATACATTTACTCCTATGGAAAAACACACACAATACAACAGTAGCTGACGTTGATGAGTCGTCAACCACATGCGACTATAATCAGCTGTTCTAAACTTCCTCAGTGGAAGTCACGCAAAAAGCGGCTCTGAAGAAGGCGATACTGTCGAAATGTCAGCTAGCGTTGTATTGTATTGTGTTTCTCTATAGATCTTCTATAGGTCTATGTATGCTGTTTAAAAACCTCACGATTGCTGAACAAGAAAACGACGCATTCTAACATTTACGTTTCGAATACCCGAACATCATAATGTGTGAAAGCGACGTTGAACGTATGACTTATTTCCAAAGACTACTACTCCAAAATTAATGTCGGTACCAAAATTTTCGTAACGGAGACATTAACCATGCAGATGAGAAAGATCAGAGATGTCCAGCTATACAGATGAGGACCGTCTGAAAATTTCAACTCAAGTTGATCTAAGAAAAATCGCAAGAAAGACTCCCAAAAAAAAACTATCAGCAAGTGGAAGAACAATTTCGGAAAACGATAATTAGATTCCGCATGAAGTGGACAAGAAGCGAAGAGATCGTCATTGTGAATTCCGTTCAGCACCCCTTTTGCACAACAACAAGACGTTCTGCGCAAGGTTGAACTGAGTTGAAGCACCGAAAGAAGTTCTGAAGGCAAATTTTCATTTAAAGAAATGATGTGATTTCTTCGCGCTCAACAAATAGAGCCATTCATTACAATAAACTCCCGAATCCTGACGAAATCATTACATTGGAGAAGTACTGATGGAGAAACAACGTTCACGCTTATTCTTCATAATAAGTGTTGGTTTAATAGCAGAACGAGTTAGAGGACGAAATTTCGCACCAGTCCAGAAAGATCTGCAGCGATTGCAGCAGTTTTTATCTGGACGATGGAGTTCCGCCTGATTCGATTAGATTCAATGCGAATTACGAAGACCCAAGTGTTGCCGACGTAAGACTCGATCCTATAGTAACCCCGAAAAAGAAGATCGTATCGAATCGCTAGCCACAACAAAGGTTTACAACGACCTCTTCATTGCTTATCAATAAAGCAAGATAACGATCTGGCATGCCGAGGTCAAATGGAAATCGATTTTGAATAAAAGTGCAAATGTTCGACAGGAGAAAAGCATTTTTTTGGTTTAATAATCCAGGAAACTACTAGAAATTCTCCGTTAAAAACCTGATATTTCACACTTAACAGACTATATTTCATCAAAGCAAACGATTATGAGCAATAAATAAGGGGTAAAAGATGAAGGATTAAGTGCTCGTCCTCTTAAATACCCAAGACATCCGCCATTCATTCAACTCTGTACGGCAACGCAGAGGTGAACGAATTTCTAGATGACTTTCAGAGTAAATTGCGAAGGCCTACAGATATACCAAGTCAGTTTTTTTTCACCTAGATAAGTCTGGTACCAAATTACAGATCTCGAAGCATAGGGGATTTTGCAGCGAAATTGTGGTCCGTCTGTTTGACTGTTTCTTGCTCGGCGTTTGGTATCAGTCTGCCGACCTTAGATGGATGGGAGGTTTGTGCAGCGCGAAACAAGGCATCGATTCCACGACCACATATGCAATGCACCTCTAACCATGGCACTACACAGACTCTAGCAAAGTAGGCTATTGAAATTCAATGCACTTAAACGGTGCAACTCCGAATTACAAATTCAACTTCTACAACTGAAGACGAAGTCATTTTGAAAAGTGAACATTGAGATTCCGTGTTCGTTCGAGAACGACCTAACGCAAACAAAGAACGCTTAACATGATGAAAACGACAAGACGAAAATAAGACTCAGAAAAAAAATGAAGATGATTTTGGGGATGAAAGAGTAACGACTGTCAACGTGCCAACACACAATCATTCTACACTCGGACCAGCTCGAGGGTCACTCAAAAATCCCATTTTACTTGCCATAATGCAGCTAGACCATTGTACCATCAGAATATTTTCACTTTTCATTTGCTACCTACTTCAATTTTTCACGGCATGCAAAATACAACCGCAACGATGCTGAGATATTTGCAAAACTCCGGACCGCTGGTGTATGCTGACGGCACTGATCGATAGAACTAGCTGGAAGACCGGCGAAACGAAGGACCCTTATGGTGTGGTAGTGAATGTGTTAGTCCTCGGAAAGGGTAATAGCGCGTTCGTTCTCCACCGCATACACCAGCGGTCCAGAGTTATGCAAATATCCCAGCATCGTTGTGGTTGCAGAATCAGAATTACATACTCGGTAATCGATGTGACCTTTAACAGCTAGATCAAAGCTGTTCTCAATTTGAACATGAAATTTCAACCACTACATTAGATATGTTAGGGAAGAATCATCGATCTGTTTCGTGATATGTAAACATTACTTACACTATAAACAATTCGATGGACCGAAATCCTTCTTACCGACTTCTTAAAGGAAGGCTTGCATTCTAGAAGAATCTCGTGGCAAGAGCATACTTCTTGATTTCCACGTTTTGGCCTGGCAAAACTGTTTACTAGGAGTCTCGGGAAAGACGTACCAAGGCTGTGCTATAGCAAACACAGACAAACGAAGACCCATGTGAACCAGAAAGAGCTTTATTAGTTTACGATTAGGTTTCTTCCAGTATGCTGACAATCCCCCACATTTACCGTCTTCTCGTTAGGCTTAGGGAATGTAGATTTCAAGCTCAATCCTTGTAGGTGTTCGACACCCGTAGACAAACATCACCCAAAACGCACTGTGGCTTGAAATTCAACGCAACACAATTTTGCCGCAGTTACACCTCTTCTAAATAATTAGAACCCTAGTCTCCAAAAGCACGAAATATTCAGTGCTAAGCAAACTGTATTCTTCGGTGATGTTACACTTATCTGTCAAAGGAAAGTAATATGCAAATGTTAACGGTCGTCGACTACGAATTTTCCACATATAGGTTACACGCACTATGAATAAGCTTCATTGTATCTTAAGTTATTGTTACAATTCTCATGGGTTAAAAGACGTTCGAACATTTAAGTCGTTAAAATGAACCATCTCAGTATTGAACTCCTAATATCCAAAACACTATAAAGGCCCTACCATCATTTAAACGCTCATGTAAGGATGAACCAAAGCCATCACATAAACCCTTGGAAGAAACCTATTTCATACAAAGGCAAACCTCTCTGCAGTCCACAAAAACTAGTGTGGCACGGTTTTTCCGAGAATTGAAGTGGTTCGCACAAACATTCGTGAAAACGATGATTATTCAAGTTAAGCAAGTATCGGGAATAACGCTAGCTTAAGTCGCATAGAATAGTGCTCGTTCTAAGAATGAGAACTCTACAATGAAAGAGGAATGAAATGTGGCCACCAAGGTGGTGTCACGTAACGATGATATCTATATAGCTTTAAGCTAAATACTGTGAACTAATTCTCAACCATAACAACGTTTTTTCTGGAAAGATATGCACTGAGTTTGTAAGAAACAATACTAATGGCGGTGAAAACAACACCATATGTGATGGCACCTTGCAATGTGGAGTTTACAGACATCAAATATTACCGACGAACGGAGCCCCACTCTTCTCGCTTCTTGCATTCCTTCAGTTTCGTCCCAAGGATAAGAGAGAGAGGGATACGTCCACAAAGTGCCACGCCACGCTGACATCAAATAAACATTCCAGTCGAATTATAAACAAAACCGAGACCATGCAAAACGAGTGAAAGGTAAGAGATAGTGTTTAATGAAGAAAATATTATGCAGTTAGATTGCATATAAGTAACATCGAACTTGCTTGGAAAGTACACAAACT